ACAAATTAGCTTCAAATTAGGACTGAATAAACTCAGGTTTTAAATAACCTTAGTTGGTCCCCCCCCCTGTCTTTTTCTTTTTTAACATATATATATCTGGAAGAAAATACATATGTATTTTCTCCCAGAACTTATCTTAAAAGAAATATGTTATTGTATGTTTTACTTTACAAAATGTGTCTGATTTTTTTTCTAATGCATGAAGTGTTAATGCACAAAATAACAATTGAACATACACAGTTAAAAGCTGTGACATGGCAAACAAGTTATTGGGTGTACTTTTTATCTTTATTTCGTATATAAAATTTATCTTTCTATATTTATTTATTGTGTCAAAACTTATGGAAACTTTAGTTTACACTTCAAAAATTGAAAATAAATATATATTTTTTAGATAATAATTAAAAATAAATGGCAAGTTCATCTTTAGATCTAACTCAATGTTGCATTGGAAAAAAATTGTCATAAAGGAAAATTTACCAAAATCAAGAAAATTAAATTTTTTGAGGAATTAACAAAAAAAGATCAAGAGCTTGTGCACTTAAGATGTAAAGTAAATCCTATTAAAACTATTTGTAATCACCATGAAAAAATCTTCTTGGATAGATTTGAGTCATCGTATGTTGGAAGCTTTTGTTGCGATCCTTTTAACAAACACAAAATTAAAGTTAAAAGTATTTAAAAATAGATTAACTTAATGATTATATTAAAGATAAAGTCTTCTTTATTTATTTATTTAGTGTTTTATCATATATTTTTTTAGAATCTGTCAGAGTAATCAGTGCTGCTGTTGCAAAGGAATTTGATTTAATACCTGGTTATAAGCTTTGTACAGAATGTCGTAAAATATTGCATTTAAGAAAACAAGAACATGAAAGCGATTCATGTAAAAATCAAGATAACGATTTTAACGGGATTCATATTTCAAAAGAAAACTTTAATTTAAGCATTAACACCTTTGGTTGTTCACCTCTAAAATTAGTAGCTTATAAAGACAGAGTCAGCTATGCAAAAAGAAAGATTAACAAGATCCATACTGCAACCAAAAAGAAAATATCAAGTGTTTTAGATGTTTCTTCGGATTTAATAAATGATGAACCAAAAACAAAAGAACTTTGTTGCAAAAGTAAACAAGATTTGGACGCACTAATGGAATTAATTAAAGTAAAGTTTGATATTTCTTCAAAATCAGAAAAACTTAAATTGCTAACTTTGGTTCCTGAGAGTTGGAACATTAAATATACAGAAAACTATTTTTCTGCTTCCCAAAGAATGATAAAAACTGCAAGGCATTTGAAACAAATGCATGGCATAATGGCGGAGCCGTCTAAAAAAGAAGGAAGATCTATTAGTGAGAAAGTAAAAAATCTAGTCCATGAATTTTACCAATCAGATGAATACTCTAGAATGTGTCCAGGAAAAAAACAGTATGTCTCAACCCAAGTTGATGGTAAAAGACATCATTTTCAAAAAAGACTGCTATTACTTAATATAAGAGAACTTTATTTAGAGTTTGGTAAAATTTCCTTAGATGTCAAGATTAGATTTTCTAAGTTTTGTGAACTTAGACCAAAGTGGTGTATTCCTGTTGGAGGTGCTTCAGGTCTCCACTCAGTATGCGTTTGTGAGTACCACCAGAATGCCAAACTTTTAGCATTAAAAATACCAGATATTTCAGACTATAAAAATCTCTTGACATTAGTTGTATGTGACTTAACAAATCGAGACTGCATGCTGCATTGTTGTGATAACTGCCCAGATAATGACACACTTAAAGAGTATCTTACTACTTTGTTTGATAAACATAGCATTGAAGAAATCAACTTTAATCAGTGGCAAAAAGCTAACAAAAAACATGATATAGTTCCGGTAACTCTTCCAGTGGACGATTTTATTGAAAAAGCTTGTCAACAAATAGACCAATTAAGAGACCATCACTATATAGCCAAAAATCAAGCAGCATATTTGCAGCATCTAAAAATCACATTAGCAAGTAATCATATTTTAATATTATTAGACTTTGCTGAGAATTACAGTTTTTTAATTCAAGATGCAGTACAAGGTTTCCATTGGAACAATAGCCAAGCAACATTGCATCCCTTTGTTATTTACTTTATGGAAGAAAACAAGATAAAATGTAAAAGTATTTGCATTATCTCAGATAATTTGCAACACAATACAAACTCAGTACATTGTTTCATTCATGAAGTATTAAAACATTTAAAAAACTTGATACCCTACTTTAACCACTGCATTTATTTCAGTGATGGTGCAAGTTCACAATATAAAAATTATAAAAACCTATCTAACTTATGTCACCATAAACAAGATCATGACGTATCTGCAGAATGGCATTTTTTTGCTACATCACATGGAAAGAGTGTGTGTGATGGTGTTGGGGGAACTGTCAAAAGACTTGTAGCAAGGGCAAGTTTACAATCACTAGTTGATCCTATCAATTCATCTAAAAAAATGTATGATTGGTGTAGACAAAATATTGATGGAATACATTTTCAACACAATTCAAATGATGCAGTTACATTACATTGCATGAAATTTAAATTAGAAGAACGTTATACTACTTGTTCAACAATTCCAGAAACAAGAAACCACTATTGTTTTATACCACAATCATTAACTACTTTACAAATGAGACGGGTTTCATTCGACAATGTGTTTACTAATGTAAATATTTCAACAATGCAACAGAACTATACAATTCCACTTGCATCTCTATCACCAGGAATTTATATAGCATGTGTTTATGATGGAAAATGGTTTTTAGGTAATATTGTGGAAATATCTGAAGAAAATCAAGATATCCTTATAAAGTTCATGAAGCAGTCTATTTCCTCTAACACTTTTACTTGGCCACATAGAGAAGATATTTGCTAATGATGATATGACAAATCAAATTACTCTTATCACTTGATCTGTAATCTAAATTTAAACATGACAATAATAAAATGGGGAAAATGATACTAAATTTAAGTCAGAATATAAAACTGTAAGATAATAACTGATATAGAAACAAAAATGTGTTGTGTCTAATAAGCATTTACAAATAAATAACACAGCTATTATTTGAGTATGTTCAATACTTGGTGCATAAAGATACTTCATGCATCAGATATAATAACAGAAACATTGCATAAGCTAAAATGTTTAATAAACAGTAGTTTAAAATGTTATCAAGAAATAAGTTCTTCTTAAGATAAGAATGTTCTGGGCAAAAATACGCATTTATAAAAATAAAGACAGGGTGGGGGGGGTAGAGGGCAACTAAGGTTATTTAAAACCTGAGTTTAATTCAGTCCTAATTTGAAGCTAATTTGTAGCAATGATTTTGATATACTTTCAAATATATACATTTTTTTGCATTGCAGTAAATAATGAATACTAAAGTACATCAATATCTCTATTTTTTGCGTTTTTAATGCATTTTTTGCCAACTTCATTGTTCTGACTTTGTAACTTCCCCATGAGTACCCACTAATTTTTTTTCTGAAATCACTTTAATAAAGTCTACTAAATGAGTAGAAAAAAAGTATATCATGAAAATCAGTGTTGATCATAGGTTACCAGTGGATTTAAGGGAAGGCACAATTTTGTAAGTTCTAGTCGGAGCCATTTTTAGAGGTCCATAATTTCTTACTGAGTTGTATCATATCAGCAAATTTCTGAAAATTAGTAAGCCTACCATATATAGAAACTAAAAAGATATGTATTTTTACTTCGTAAATTTCTAGTTTTGTATATTGATTCATCAAAAATCAACTTTTTATATATGCAAACAATTTTTTCGGTTTTTTAGGCAGCCATTATGGATAAAATGTGACATTTAAAAATTTAATTTCAAAGTTTTAACAAAGTAAGCCTAGCATTGTATATGATAAAAAAAACTAGAAGGTTTTCTGAAATTTAGTTTTTAAAATACAGAGCTTCAAAGTATAAACAAAACATGTTTTTGCTACTGAAGTTTTTATTTTTGGAAAAATCAGAAATTTCAAATGGCCATATCTCATGACCATATAAGATTTGAAGTTGAAATTTTCAGGAATTGCTTTTCTCAATGACATAAACCAACCCACTAAGTTTCATCAAAATCTGAGGGGGTCCATGTTTGACTCTGGTTCACTTGGCATGGAATGACCCGATATCAAAAGGTAACTTGATAGAGAAATCAAGGTTATTAGACAAGCTAAAAATTTGCTAAAATTAGTGACAATAAAAAAGTTGTATTTTTAAGAGACTATAAAACTTGCTGTCAAAAATATTATTAAATTATTTCAGATTATCAATAATCAGTTGAAGCAATATAAAATAGCTGACAAATTTAAGTACATTTGGTTTGAAATATATTTTTTCAAGTTTCATGCATTGTCAAGTATTCTAGTGTTTCTGGCTATTTGTAGTGGTGTTTTCAAAAATTTTTGCTTTAATAACAAATTAAGCTTTCTCATCTATACATGACTGAATGTGAATGAGTAAAAAAAATAAAAAAACAATGATATTTTATGTGTACATTATTAGATAATTGTTACAATTATTTAGTTATTTTTGAGAAAATTTATTTTAAAGTTGTCCAAAATATTAGTATATATAGATATTTTTTAAATTTGTTTATTTATTCACAGAAATATGCAGGTTAAATAGGCACATGTAAAACTACTTTTTTTTAAAAATAATTTATTAATGATTAGTGATAATGAGGGCAAACAGTTGTCTTCTGCTGTTATATATTGATGGCAAGGGAATACTTTTATAGCTTGATTTTGATCATTTCAGAAAATTACACATTTATTTTAAAAGCAAAAGAAATGACTTTAAGTGAAAACAGTTTGAACTGATTCTCAAACAGACAAAAACCTTGCTGATATTATTTTTACATATGTTTATGAAAATGATAATTTTTAGGAACCATAAAGAAAAAAAACTTTAATAACTTTGAATAAATTAAACAAGACTGTATTTAAGATTTTCAATTATTTTTTGTTTAGGTCAGCTACTATTTCCCACTTAAGACATTGTGGAGAACCTTTTTATGTGCAATGATGGCTGCGTTAACTTTAGGTTACATGAATCCATATGGAAATGGTCATCTTGTTGTATTTAACATAAATTATCGCAATCCTTGGCAACTATTTGAATTAATCCCATTCATTTTAATTGGCATCTTTGGAGTATGATTTTTAAATAATTTTACATTCAAGTTATTTGATTTAATTTGATTATGTTTCGGTATTAGCTTTATATTGACATTTTGATAAATAATTATTTTAAAATTTGATAGGGATGTTTTGGTGCATTCTTTATAAAGTTTAATATAATGTGGTGCAGAATTAGAAAAACTACAAGACTAGGGCGTTATCCCATTATTGAGGTTTTTCTCTTTTTTCTTTTATATTTTTCTAATATTTTATTTGTGAAATAAGACATGTTCTAAATATTATTTTTTATTCTATTTAATCATGTTGTCACATTTTTATTTCTAAGTATATAAAGTCTATTTATTATAATATGAGGCGCAAGATGAGATTAGGTACCAAGTCTTTGAAATGGAGTTATTGACATAGAGTTAGGAATAAGCTACAAAATAAAACAAAAACCAGCTTGATAAGATCATTATCAGCAGTTCTACAGAATTTTGAATGGAAGCGCTTTAGAAATAAAGTTATTGAGAAAAAATATTTTGAAAGTATGACATACTTTAAAATTGTATAACTATCACATATTAATGAAGTTAGTGTTTATTTTGAATTTTTTCTTATATTAGTATGTTAGAAATGAAATAAAAACCTTATACAAAAAATATTTTTCAAGATTATTAACAAAAAATAGAGTTTTACTTCTACATAGTGTCAATATGAAAAAGTACCAAGTCTACGCTAATTAAGTTAATGAATATTTTGATTTTTTCATACATTTGTATGTTTGTTATCAATTGCAAACCAATTACAATAAACATATTTTCAAGATTTTTAACAGAATCTCAAAAAAAATTTGAAACAAAAATATGATCAATATGAAAAGGTACCAAGTCTACTGTTTTCAATTAGTAACATTACTGACATCAACATTATATATTATAAACTAGCAATTATGGGATGATGTCAGAAATATCAATGCTCTTGATGTCGTTGGTTTGCCATATATTAAAAACCACATCTGTTAAAAATTAATAGTATGCGACTGTTGTTAGATTTTAATATTACTAATTTTGTACTATTACTAACCCTAATAGGATGATGAAAAAAGAGCAACATAGGTCAAACAAGTAAAATACTTGGCTATCCCTGTACAATAGGAGCTATTGATTGCACCCATGTAAGAGTTGATAAATCCTATGGAGAATTTGCTGAAGAGCTTAATAATAGAAAAGTGTTTGATTCAATCAACAGTAACTGTGGTGTAATAATTTTATATGTAAGAAATATGCCAGAGATGATTTCTACATGTATCACTGCATGCTTTATACTGCGCAATATTGCAAAAACTTTAAATGATCCAGATTTTTGAGGATGAAGATGTCGAAGAAATTGTACCTGTAATTGAATAAGGAAATGAACAGCAACTTCGTTTACTTGTTCAGCATCTTAGAAATGAAATTGCATTGGCAGTATTAAATTGAGACAATGTCTTTTAAGTTAAATTAAGTGTAATGTCTTTTTATTTGTAACAAATTGAAAACATTTAATTTTTATTTTATTGTATTGTTTTTATTATTAAAAATATACTTTCAAAGTTTTCTAAGATAAATAATTTAAAGAATTTTTAAGATGTGCTAACATTACATTTTTAAGTTTTATTTACAGTAAAATATACAAAAGTTACTCAAATGTCAGTTATAATTTTTTTATGACTTAATAATTTATTTGATAATACTTTTATGTACAAAATGTTCATTATTAGGATATTATTAAAATATGCATTATTTGGTAATATATTTATATTATGCTATAAATTTTAGAAATATTTTTAAACAAATTATAAGTGACATTTAATAAATAAAATGAAACAAAAACTAACTGGAAATAAAACATAAAAAAAGTTTTAAAATAGATTTTAGTTACTGAAATGTATAAAGATACTTTTTATCAATTTAAATTAATTCATCCTTTTTTTATTACTATGTATAACGTTATCAAATGTTGAAAATGTAATGCATGGTCAAAAAACTAATTTAAGTAAACTTTTCAACTGATAATACTTTAGCTGCTCCAGCATGACCATACGCTAAAGCTCTGTATGTGTCCATTTTATAGTTTCTGTAGTTTTACCAATTAGTTTTAATTATTTTGGAATTTGAGAAGAAATGTTCCCTGAGAAATAAATAAATTTTGGTTGAATAATATCTCCAAGATATTGATAGTTTTACATAAATATAAAAAGAATAAAACTAGATTGAAAATATGTGTACTGCAAATATAATATATTAAAGAATAAAAAACCACATTAGTAACTTACTGCAGCTACTTTTAACATTACCAAAAGATTCAACTGATGGTGACAATGAAAATATCAAGTTACTTTTTAATTAGTATTTTTAATGATGTTTAAAAAAATTATTTAAAAAAAAACTTGAAAATATTGACTTTTTTTATTTTCATTTTAAAAACAATAGTTTTTTAGGCAATTATATCTGAAAAAAATATTTTTATGTAAAATATTATTTTTGAAGTTTATATATAATTTTGCTTCTTTTGAGTACCAGGTTGACGTACTTTAGAAAAACTTTTTTTTTCAAAACATTAGGGACCTGTAAAATTTTGAAGGGTCTTGAGACACTCCTAAAAATATTTTTTATTCAAAAAAAATATAGAACACATTTAGTTAAATGCAGCAGATTATTTTTAAAAAAGTTGTTTTTTGAACCACCCTAATGTATATATATATATATATATATATATATATATATATATATATATATATATATATATATATATATATATATATATAACCCTCGGAATTAGGAAAATTGAGGTCAGCAATAATTTGCCGACCTCAATCTTTTAGATGTTGGTAAATACAATTTTATGGTCTTACCATAAATCATTGAAATGAGGTCGGCAAAACCAAATTTTTTTTGCTGACCGCAAACACGTTTAGGTTGGCATTGCCATATGCCGACCCTAATTCTGAGGGTTGTATATATATATATATATATAGTGATTTCGCTGGTTATCCGGTTCTGCGGTTAACCGGATTTTGTTCGAAATCAAATATCTATTTTCGAATAATAAAAACTGACTTTATAATTTTACAAAATTTTATAGAAAGTAACAACGTAATTATGACGATCATTGTTTGACAAATGTTAATTTATCAAAGATTATAATAAATTTCTTTTATTAATTTAAATGTTAATTTAATCAGTTTTGTTTGATAATATATTCTTAAAACAATTTACAATAGAAATCTCAAAGATTTATTTATTACTTTTGCAACTCAAGCAATACATTTTAAAGAAAGTTTCTTCAGAATATTCTGGAACTCTAATTCGCTTATTCAGCGTATTTTTTGAACCAATAGAATTTGTTTATTCGTAGATTTGGCGGTATTTTAGTGTTCGCAAATATTCTTTATATTATCTTTCCGCAACAAGTTGTTTTGAGAACATTCAAGTTTATCTGTGTTTCCATCTATGTCCGCATAACAATAAGTTTTTAAAATACACGCTAAAAAAATTAACTTCATAATATCTCATTTTTCCAAATCAAATGTTTTTATATGAGAGAATGATTTCAAACATCCGCTGATATTAAAACATTTAAACTATACTTGTACATTATTCCTACCTTTTTTAATTATATAATTAAAAAGGTATATTATTTATATTATATTATAATATAAAATGTATATATATCTTTTTTCATGTTTTGTTATAAATATATAATATAGAACTGTTTTCAATAACTGTCTTGAAAATGTTGAAATTTAGTAGATCCTGTAATCAGAAAGCGTCACTAATTTACTGAATAGTCGGGTAACCACATATTTATGGGAACTGTTATCCAGTTTTTGAAACGGATAACCGGCGAAATCACTATATATATATATATATATATATATATATATATATATATATATATATATATATATATATATATATACAAATAGATATATTTTTCAAAGAAAAATATATCTATTTGTATATATATATATATATATACAAATAGATTTGTATATATATATATATATATATATATATACAAATAGATTTGTATATATATATATATATCTATTTCGCTTATATCTCCGAATCTAGATATATAGACTTGGTACCTTATTTCATCTCGCTCCTCATATGTACTTAATAAACAACGTTTTGTATTCTTTTTAAAAATCCTTAACTCTTTATGAAGTTTAAGTAATTTATCTGTTTATGAAGTTTGTAGCTAATTGAATTACCATGAATTATTATATAATAAGTATATTAATTGGTTCAGATATTTTTTAAATTAATGTTTACAAAATTACTTTTTGTTCATCTATTTTTTTATTAAGTTACTTATTTTGTTTTATATTTTATTTAGGTCTTTGTTATTACAATTTTTACTTCTTTAATATCTTACCCTAATGAATTTACAAGAATTTCAATGAGTCGTCTAATTTCTGAGCTTTTTCAAAATTGTGGACCTGATGATACAAGTCATCTTTGGTAAATTTTTTTCTTTATTTGAATTTAGATTTTTCATAAGTATTAATAAAAAAACTTATCCTGCATGAACATCATAAAACAGCAGAAATCTTCTTTTTGTTATATATATATATATATATATATATATATATATATATATATATATATATATATATATATATATATATATATATATATATATATATGTATATATATATATATATATATATATATATATATATATATATATATATTATATATATATATATATATATATATATATATATATATATATATATATATATATATATATATATATATATATTAGGGTGGTGCTTAAAACAACTTTTTTGAGAAAAACCTGCTGGTACCCCCTAAATGTGTTTTATCTAATACAAAAACACTAGATTTAAAATTTTTTTGAACAAAAAATATTTTTAGGGGTAGCTCAAGGCTAGTATGTCAACCTGGTACTCAAAATAAGCAAAATTATATAAAAAATTTAAAAATGAAAATAATTTTTTATAAAAATAATTTTTTCAGGTATAAATGCATAAAAACTATTGTTTTTAAGCTGAAAATGAAAAAAGTCAATATTTTTAGGTTTTTTGAGAATAATTTTTTTAGGCATGTTTTTTATGTAAAATGATTATTACTTTTGAAGTTTTTATATAATATCGCTTCTTTTGAGTACCAGGTTGACATACTTTAGAAAAAGTTTTTTTTTCAAAATATTAGGGACCCATCAAATTTTTGAGGGCCTTGAGCTACCCCTAAAAATATTTTTTGTTCAAAAAAATTTTAAACCTAGTGTTTTTGTATTAGATAAAACACATTTAGGGGGGTACCAGCAGGTTTTTCTCAAAAAAGTTGTTTTAAGCACCACCCTAATATATATATATATATATATATATATATATATATATATATATAATATATATATATATATATATATATATATATATATATATATATATATATATATATATATATATATATATATATATAAATAGACTTAAACCCACATAATGAAGTGCACATATATGTGTGTGTTTACTTGTTGCTTTGAATTAACTAATGATAGTAGTTAATGTTTTTATTATTACAGTGATTATGTGTATATGACAAATGTAACTCAAAATGTAAACAGTGAATACTATCCGCACAGATCATTAGGACCAGGTGTCTATGAATCAATTTGGAAATTAATTTTAGCTGTTATATTAATATCTGTTATGTCTGTGCTCACTTTTGGAATTAAGGTAAGTTATAGATTTTTATTAGCAATAATAGTTTCCTTTAATCTAATAATAATGTTATTGCTCTGAAATTTTTTTATTTTATTTTCAATTACTTAGGTCCCTGCAGGGTTGTTTGTTCCCAGTCTTGCTGTTGGAGCTTGCGCAGGTCGAGTTTTTGGCATTGGAATGGAAATTCTTGTAAGGTAAGTTAAAACTATTCTAGCTTTTTATTAGTATACTTTTTCTTTTTTATTAGTTTTTTTTTTTTTTTTTTTTGTTATAAAATTTTATTATATTAAGTAATCAATGTTTCAATCTTTAACATCGATTACTTAAGATAATAGTAAATTTATTAATTCTACTTTTAATTCTAGTTCGTATCCAAATTTTTTTCTTTGGTCAAGTGTTTGCTCAAAAACCAAGAATCATTGTATTTTACCTGGTTTGTATGCAATGACTGGTGCTGCTGCAGGGCTTGGTGGGGTTACTAGAATGACTGGTGGGTTTTATAGCTTTTTTTTTGTTTTCTTTTTTTTTTAACTTAAACTTTGTTGATAAAAAGATAAAATTAAAAAATGGCAAATATTTTTAAAAAGTTTCCATATTACACAAATTAGCAATAATTAATAATCCAAAATTTTGATTTTTAATGTTCTTTTTTAATTTTAATGTTTTGATTCTTTTTAAAGGGTCTGTCAAATAGTACTTTTTGCAAACGTAAAGATGTTTTTAAATAGTAAATTTAATGAATTGTGCAGTAGCTTTGTTGGTCAGTTCTCATATTTTAGAGGTTAAAGAGTTAAGAAAGGGTGGTAAAAACAATTTAAAAAAAAAGTACCCCACAAAAAATTTGTGATCTCTTTGTCTTGGGGAGGTGTAACAAAAAAAGTAAAACAAACAAAAAAAAGATAAATCTAGAATTTAAAAAAAGAAACAGTTTAAAGATTACCAAAGTATTTATTTAAAAATTAATATAGTAATCATTTTTTATAATATTCATCTGTGTTTGTTTTGCAAATAGCTGATTTAACATGAGTTGGTAAGTTGTTATCAAATATAAAACAAAACCAACTAAAAACACAAGTATTATTGTAAAACAAATCCAAGTAAAAATACAAGTATTATGATTATTAAACAGTCATTAAAAATTTTTTAAAATAGAATTGATGACAAAAAGATCATGGTCATTAAAACAATTTTTAGAAAAAATTTGGTTTAATATGACAAATTGTATTTTTCAAAAGTATAAATCTAATTATATACTTAAATTTTAAATAAATAAATAAATACTTCGAACAGGAATAATAATTTTTTTTTAATTCAAATTATTTATAACTTAGCTTTTATTTCATTCATTTAATATTTGTTGTAGAATGTTTCTACATTTTAAACTATTTTAAGGAAACAAAAATGACAATGTCTGCAACTTTTAAATATGCCTGAAACATTTAATTAATTTCTTTTTAATTACAGTGCCAATTTTAGTGTTTAAATATCGCAACTGCATAATCAGTACCATAAGAATTTCTGAAATTATTGACCCCATTTTTTTTTTCTTATGCAATCAAATAGTGGATATAATAATATAAATCAAATAAGATAATATGAATGTTTTCATTTTGGTAGTTAATATATTTTATCAGGGTTTTTTGTAAGGATTCAGGTTTTTTTGCTGTCATTTAATATAAACTGCACCTAATTAGAATGTTATCAATATATATATATATATATATATATATATATATATATATATATATATATATATATATATATATATATATATATATATATATATATATATATATATATATATATATATATATATATATATATATATATATATATATATATATATATATATGCTCTGAAAATGTCACCAAATTTAATGCTGTTTGTTGATGAATTTGTTTTTTTATTTTACACAGCTGAAATGTATATACCTAAATTTTGTCTTTACCTAAAGTATACTTTTTATTTTTATTTTTCTAGACCTCAGGAGCGTAACGTGGTGGAAGCCAAAATGTTTTTTCCCCATATGTGAATGATTATAAGGGGACCAAAAAAAAAGATTTTTGTTTTTTAAAAAAGCTTGTGATATAATTTTGATTAGTTTTTGTCACTTCGCATTAAGCTCACAATATAAATAAGTAAATTTTAGAATATATGACTGTACTATATTGATTGCAGTTTTTTTGATATTTATCAAAATACAGATATATTTTTAGATAATTTATTTAAATATATGTATCAATATTTTATAATCTAACAAGAAAAGTTATGAGTTACCCTAATGTAAAGCTTACCGTAGTGTAAAGTACTGTTTTAAAAACTGAAATTAAAATTTCATTTCAAAAATTTTAATGTATTTTCAAATGAGAAATAATTAAAAATATTTTAATTATTTCTCATTTGAAACTGTTGAACATTTGTAACCTTATAAAGATTTCTAAAGATAAAGTTCTAAAGAGTTGTGCTTTATTAGTGACATAGTTTGTCATAAGGGTGTTTTTATGTTGTTTTTTTTATTGATAGTGTTTGTTAGGTTTCTTTTTAAGTTTTTAAGTTATGTATATACTTTTATTACTTTTTATTTTTGCTTTTTAGTCACCTTGGTTGTCATTATGTTTGAAGTGACAGGAGGTTTAACTTATATAATTCCATTTATGGTTGCTATAATGACATGTAAATGGGTCAGTGAGGCTTTTGGGCAAGATTCTGTGTATCTTTTATTGTTTGCAATATAGAATAACTTTAAAAAAATTTGAAAATTTGAAAAAAGTATACACAATATATATATATATAAATATATATATATATATATATATATATATATATATATATATATATATATATATATATATATATATATATATATATATATATATATATATATATATTACATTATATACATATCTTATCATATCTTGCATTATATACATATCTTATGTATATATATATATGTATATATATAAATATATATATATATATATATATATATATATATATATATATATATATATATATATATGTATATATATATATATATATATATATATATATATATATATATATATATATATGTATATATAAAGAGAGAGAGAGTATTATTATTTTTTTGTTGTTTCCTATTTGTAGTTGCTAATATGTAACAACAGTATTTTTAAATAATTTTTAAAAAGTTTTATTCATTAGTATTGCATAACCTTAAACTGGTTGTATGCCAAACAAAAGTAATAAAGCTATATAACAGCAAGCAAGGTAAGGCAGCGAATGGTTTTTTATAATATGCATTTTATTTATTTCTGTTATTAAGTTTTCTCTGTTTCTTCTAATAAATAATGTAGAAGACATTAATCACAAAAAATGTGGAGATTTTTTTTCTATAAGGTTATATTAGGTGATAGGATTTAAAGTTAAGTTGAATGAAATACATTTTTGTGGATAAACATTTTTACTAATCAATGATGTAGACTTTCTGCACATGTAGATCAGTTTCAAAAAAGATTAATTTTGTTTATTAATATTTAAATTGTTTTTTGATTAGTTTTAATGGATTTTAATTTTATTTTAATTTTGAGAACTTTGATTACCTAATACAAACAACAACTTTTATAAAATCTTAAAATAATTATTGATCTTAATATTATAAAGATATATTGAACACATTCGGTTAAAAGGTTATCCTTATTTGGATACTAAGGAAGAATATACAAATCCTAGTCTTGCAGCTGATGTCATGAATCCTAGGTAGATATTTCTATTTCTATGTTGCAAATTAACTTTGTACATTTTTTTTTCATTATTTTTTGTTAAATATTTAATTTTAAGTCTTAAAATTTCTGAAATTGATTTGTTATATATATATATATATATATATATATATATATATATATATATATATATATATATATATATATATATATATATATATATATATATATATATATATATATATATATATATATATTATTTTAAGTTGTTGTTGTTGTTTGTTTTTTTTTGTTTTGTTTTTTTGCCTCTACACCCCTGTAAGTCAGTTTTCTGTGAGTCGCTTGTTATATGAAACTATAAAAATTACTAATGTAACATAAAACAAGATTTTTACTAAATATATATATATATATATTTAATAATCCTATCATAAAAAAAAAAGTGCAAGCCCGCAATTACTAATTTTTAGTTTATAAATCGTTCATTTATTTGCAATATTCGGCAAAACTATCGAGAAAATAAAAAATAAGATTTAATGAAAAATAAAACAAATATTTTTTTTTCATAGTTAAATACATAATTTATTATATATTGTTATATTATTACTAAAATAATATACAAAAGTTTTTTTTCATTTATTTATTTGCAATTTTCTAACTAATGAGAAAATAAATAAAATTTTAGAGAAAAACAAATTGACTAAATGTAGATAAAAGAAAAAATGTTCATAGTTAAATAAAAAATTTTTTTTATCAAAATAGTAATAAAATAAGAACTTAATAATAGATTCAACACCATGTTGAATTTATTATGAGCCGATGCTAATTACAGTTTTGTAATATTTATAGTTTCATAATATCCATATGTTTATCCAGCTTGTTCTTAGCTTTATTCCACCATTTTGCAACTCTGTCATAAAATTTCCCCTTGGTTTGTTTCTTTTTTATAAGCTCAATATCTACAATTACTTTATGTCCTCTAATGTTTGCAGCTAGACCATTTGCTGAATAGAAATTGCTGCTTTTGGTTGTTGATACCAAAACACTTTGTCCAATTTATGAAATAAAATATTTTAGAAAAAAGGATTTTCACTATCGGTAAAATGAAATTAATTTAAATAAATGAAGCAAAAAACTGCAATACATTCCTCAACGCGTTGAGGAAAGTATTGCATACAACATTGAGGAATGATGAATGAACTCATTAATTCACTTTGTTGCGTTGAAGCGTATTAATGAGTTCAAGGTTGTTAAAGCAGAAAAATTTTTTGGTTTCTATTAACATGCAATAATTATTACATAGAAGTTTTAACAACGATAAATTTAATTTATATTAAAATATATTTTAAGTAGTAGAATTAATAATATAAAATTATTAATAAATTATTATTTTTTAATTATTGAAATATTGTATATCAATATAAATTATTATTAAGTTATTAATTCTATTGAACTATATTGATAAAAAATAAATTTATTGGAACATTTTTAAAACAAACATTAAAACCAGGCAATATTGAAAAATAAAAGGATTAAAGAAAAAATTCGCTTGAACTTCTTTTCGCTTTCTAACTTTTTGCTTTTTACCACTTGCCATTTTTTTACCTAAATCTTGAAAATCAAGTGAGAAGTTATTGCCACACTCCTTGCTAAGTTTATTGTAATAAAATTTATCAGGATTTCAAATTAATTGTGTAAAAAAATAAGGACAAGATATTGCCATGATAGGAGATGGTGTATGATAGGAGATGGTGTAATCTAATCGGCAACAATAAAATCTTTAGAGTATCTCTATTTTCAAAGCGCAAAACAAAATTTTAATTACTGTGTAAAATTTTTTCTTTTTTATTTGTAACTTTTAAAATACCCATTTATACATAAAATTAAAAAACATTATTCTATGTATTTAACTTTATGTTTTTGTAGAGATACAATAAATGTAAAAGTATTAAATACAAAAGTTAGTATAAATGTTTTGTAGAAACAAACACAAAATAATTAGATAAAGTGTTATGTTGTTATGTTTTATCAAAATTACAAATCTTTTTGCTTTAGATTTATATAGTTATCAAGTAATATAAAACAAAAATAATGATAATGTTTTGGGTATTTGGGTAATTTTTTTTTACTATTTAGTTTGCTCTTTTTTTTTTCTTTCTCTAGGCGATACACAGAACCTCTCACATGTATAACAAAGAGTGGTTTTACTGTCAAGGATATTGGTATTGTATAATAGTTATATCAAATAAGCATTTAATTTCAAAAGATTTGTTTAAAAAAAGAAATTTCTATATTTTTGTATAGAGGATCTGCTTGAAGAGAATAAATATAATGGTTTTCCTGTTGTTGTAAGTAAAGAAACACAAATACTATCTGGCTTTGTTACAAGAAGAGATCTGAAGGTTGCATTACGTAAGTCTTCAATGTGTATAAAAGATTCAGCAATTAAAGCTTTAATAAATATTAGGCATTTATGTGTAGATTCTACTTCGCTAGCCCATCCTTGTACACTATGTATATGTATGCATATATATATATATATATATATATATATATATATATATATATATATATATATATATATATATATATATATATATATATATATATATAGTATATATATATATATATATATATATATATATATATATTTATATATATGTGTATATATACATATAAACATATGCAGGGGTGTACCCTAATGATCGTCCAGTGGCACTGGATGACTCAAATCTTCTCAATTGGCGACTGAAATTTTAAAATTTTTTTGCTTGTGAGTAGCTCGGCAGGATGACCAGACAGTTTGTTACTTGAAAAAGTGTGTTTATTAATTAAACCATATTTTGATCTATAAAGATTTTATTCCTTGAGATTATTTAAAAAAAAAATTTAAAAAGTGTTTAAAGTAGTATACACTTTATTTAATACTATGGTAACACTTGTGTAGCACATGGTAACACTTGTGTAACACTATGGTTTAACACTTTGTTTACCACTATGGGTCACTATGGTACGTTATAATTTTGCCAAACTTGATAAAAAGAAGCTGACATGAAATTTAATATTTCGAAGTACAACTGTACTATTTTTTCAAATGTTGTTGCATTTTGAAGCTTGTTTCTTCTCAATTTAAAATGAGTATTAAAATTACATTTTCTTTCAATTCTAAATGCTAATGTATCATTTTTTAAATCTTATAGTTGCATTTTGAATCAGGTGAATGGGCAGTTTAATCATTAATAACAATGAATCTCTTTTGTTTTTTGTTTGTAAAATAAATTTTTATTGTAACTTTGTCAAACAAAGTATATAACAATATAAAAACCATTAGGATGCACATAAAAAATCATTATTAGAATGCAATTAATGATGCACATAGAAACTCTTTTTTTCTAAAAAATAAAAGTCTTAGTAAAATAAAAAATGTTTAAAACATCAAAAAAATAATGCCTAAACATTCATCTAAATTAAATTGAATTTAAATCAAAGTTAAGAGAGAGTAATATAATATTTTTCTATTTATAAAACGTTTCTTTGCGATTTGGCTTTTGATTTTGAAACAGATATAAACTATGACAAAAATAACAACACATCTTTAATTAATTTTATTCATTTATTTTTAAATAAACCATTTCTTATTAGATGTATTTTAGTAGTAAGATGTTAAAATATTTTTTTTTAGTATTTTCACCTGAGAAAAAATACAAAAATAAAACTTTTACACTGGACTACTGATTATCATAGCGGACAACTCAAATGAAAATAAAAGCTGTTTCAGTTACCCACAGAGCGACCGGGAAAAAACCGGAGGGTACACCCATGACGTGTGTATATATATATATATATATATATATATATATATATATATTATATATATATATATATATATATGTATATATGTTTATATATGTATGTATATATGTATAAATATATATCTATTATAGAGTGTTTAGATAACAAATTGTTACCCTATTTTTGTTATACATAGTTATTCGGCATTTTGAATGAAATTAAAGTGAATTTGAAAATGAAGAATAATGAAAAAAAAGGTTACTACCCCATGCCAAACCCTCAGTTGATATAGTAAGACTCCCTTGCGGCAGCAGGCTATAAGATAGTTGATGTATTTACTAAAACAGGCTATTTCAGTGTGACATCAGATATGTTATTTATAGTAATACATGTACATATATGTATGTATATGTATATATAGTTATATGTGTATATATTTATATATATGTGTGTTTGTATGTATGTGTATATATAGTCGGCAAATTATTGCCGACTTCACTTTTTCTAATTATGAGGGTTATATATATGTATGTATGTATGTATGTATGTATGTATGTATGTATGTATGTATGTATGTATGTATGTATGTATGTATGTATATTAACAAAGAAAAACAACTTTTTCAATGCTACTTTAAGTTTCATGCCTATAAGACAATCATCCGCCATTAAATACAAAATCAAAAACAAAAAACCAGCTGAAAATTACAAAATACTGTGTAGTGGGATCTTTACATTGTCAAAAGACATACTTGATAGCAACCAAAGTAAAAAACAATAGATTAACTAATCACTGGTGTCAAAATATATAAAAGAAATTTATTCTTGTGCTTGCATTTTGAATTCAACTCGTTTCATTTGTTTAAATAATATATAATATATTTATTTCATTGCTAAGTTAGCATCTTTAAAGGTTTATCTTTATTGTGAAAATCTTTTATTCGTCTAGTTTTTTTCTTGTACTTCAATACTTTGAAACTCTCTTCTATCTATATGTTTTCCTGAATCATACAACCTACAGCTTTTTAAGTCTTCTTTGATTGTTTCCTTGCTTTTTAACAATATTATTTGTTTTGTAGTTACTCTCAACTTATATATGTTACTTTCAACTTACATATAATGTAATGTTGCTTGCAACTTAGTAATAGTTGTATATATATATATATATATATATATATATATATATATATATATATATATATATATATATATATATATATATATATATATATATAATTTATATTATTTAGATAAAAAAATACAACTTTTTATGGAACTATTAGTTTCATGCCATTCTGCAATCATTCAGCCATATTATTCAAAATTTACAAAATAAAAAACCGTTAAAAAGTACAATGTTTTAGCGTTGCAACAGTATCGTCAGACGATATCATGGGTTCCTAATCTCCGGTATCGAATTGTGAAAGCAGAAATTTTTTTCAATGCCTGCAAAAAGAAACCAACTCACTTTTTTTATCAAGCAATGATCCTTGATCATAAGTCATAAAAAAATATTTTTCATATAAACAAAGATTACATCTTTTAGTTGATGGATTATATGATTGACACTTTTTAATAATGTTCCACTTGATTAACGGCATAATGCCTGCATTTTTATGTTTCTATATTTCTTTAGAAAGTTCTGTATCGTTTTCGTATCTAGTAGTAGTAGTTAAATGATTTTAAATGGTTTGCAAACTTAAGCTTGAATGAGTTTTCACTGATACCAATATATGATTTTTAGGAATTACTAGGGTTAGCTAAAGATATAGTGGCTTTATACACAACATTTTTAGATAAGCATTGTTTATTTAAAGGACATAAAGGTTTGTTAATACAGTTGCAGTTGGCACAAGCAGTGGGTTTGTTGCGTAATATTTTTTGATTATGTGAATTAATTATTGATCCAACACTCGGCATGTAGCTGTTACTAATTTTGATTGTATTTTTGTTAAATATCTTGTGGAACTTATGATTTTTGCTTTGTTTAAAACTGTAAACAATAGTAGGAAACTGTAATTATAAATAAATGAAGCTTTGTAAATACTATTATTAAAAAAATTATCCTTTTATTTTTTTTAATTTCAATCCAAAATGGTGTGAGATAGTATAATTATGTGCATTGGTCTACTCTGCTAAGAAAATGAAAACTCTTATTTTAATAACGCCTAATGAAAATGTTGCAAGTTTTAGTATAATGAGCAAGTAACATATTTAATACTATTAAGATATTTCTTTTAGTAATTGTTTTTACTTAACATGATACTTAAAAATTTAAGTAAAAATGCAAACTACATTAATTAGTCATAGAAAAATATTTAATACAATCACGCTGATGGTAAAACTCATATTATTTTTAAAGAGTATTTAATTGTTATTGTAAAAAGATATAAAACAACAATAAAACGAATTGCAAAATTGTTTTAACAATAATTAGATCTTGTGTTAATGTATAACAACTTCGTGATGCTGTTTTATTGCTGTTTTATACAATTTATAACCTTAATAACATAAACACGTTTAAAATAAAAAACAAAGTAAATTAGTAGAGTTGTTCTAATTAATAAACTAAAACAATATCATAATGGAACTTTGAACTTCAAAGTTCCATGATTATATTGAAAAGCAATCGATATCATTGATGATTGTGAAAAGCAGTCGCTATCGCAATGTGCTTAATTCGTTCCCTGATATATATTCATACACTTGTTAGTAAACAGCAAAAGTTAGATTTTTAAAAATATTTTCAGAGTATGGCAAGATGCGTTGTGAAAACTTTGACTCTACTACTCAAGTCTATTTTACAAAACACCCACCAGTAGATGGACTCAACGAACATCAAAGTACTCTAAGTTTCAGACATATTCTGGATGCTGTAAGTTATTTTTGTATACTTCTACTTACTTACAACTTCTAGAATAAAATTATAATTTTTTATTTACTGTAAATATACTTTTTTTTGGGGTGGGTTTTTTGGTGGTTCATTATTTATACTATACTTTATACATAATATATACTGTATATATTTTAATGTTTAGCTGTATTTTAATTTTAAGTTTAAATTTTTTTAACACATACTTTTTGCAGTTTGTCTTTAAAAAAATACTCATTATAAATGAAATGGTTTTTGTCATTTTATAAATAATGTTTTACATAGAATTTTGCCAACAATTTTACATTTTTTATCAAAATTAAAGTCTACGGACAATTTTTAAAACTTTTTGGCAAATTATTGTGTACAACGTTATTTTTAATTTTTTGGACTTGATTTTGGGTTTGATTCTATTTGAACAGTCTGGGACTTTCCAGTTTATTCAAATTTGTTTTCTTTATTTTAATTAATTGGAGCACATAGTAGGATATTGCATGCTTTTTTGGATTGACAGAAACAGAGAGTAGTGTAACTTATTTTGAATCTTGAGATCACATTTCTGAACAGTTAAAGATTTTCGATAAGTGAAAAAGCTTTTTTTTTAATTTAATTTTTTTTTTATTAAAGAATTCACTCTCAACAAAACTGCAAACAACTATTTTGGTTAATTATTTGACATAATTTTTCTCACTTTTTGACATTATCTTATTTGTGGCTTGAAAAAGCCTGGTTTAACTGAACATAACTATCACTACTTATGTCTGCTGCTGTTAATATATCTGCAGAGTTTAAACACTTTACCAGATTTGTCCTATTTTATTTTGGGTACTTGCATTTGGTACAAAAACTTTGAATGTAGTAACTTGGCCATGAAGATATACTAGGCTCCTTAATGGTGTTCTCCTCTCTTTAATTCAGTGATTCAAAGCATTATTCAATTATTTTCCGATTTCAGATTGTTGTTCTTTTATTTTTGACAACATGAACTCTAATGCGAAAATTAAATTTGCATTTTGTTGACAAAGTGCGACCACAGTTGCTTTAACTGGATTTAAAAGTAATTCTGAATCAGTTATTCCTTTTTGCTCATCTTAATTGATTCATCAATGTTGGAATCCAACTCTATATCTAAAAGTGCCTTTTTAACACAAAATTTTTTAATTTTTACTTCACAAATTAGTCTAGCATAAGTAACAAGCAGCTCCATCGAGTTTTGCAATCCATGATTAAATGAATGACCTTGCCCAATTCAATTTTTACTTTTATGGGTTTTGTTATGGTTCCTGTAATTTGGTGCTAAATTTTAACTTCAGATGTTTCATTAATTAACAACAAATCATTTGAATCTCAAATATACTCTTCTTCTTTAGAAAACAATTTCTTCTTTGAATAAGGGTAACTAAAGTTTATTTAATAAACCTGTATTTTGATAACTTTATTAAACCGATGTTAAAAAAACTTTTGTAAGTCACATTTGTAATTAATATTAGTGGCCATAAAAATAGAATTAAAATTACACACACATGAAATTAAAATGAATTAAAAAATTCAAAATAAAATTAAGGTTTAGAAATTAAGGAAAATTTAATATTTTAAATACCTATTTAAAATATAAAGTTTTCTATGGGATTTTGTTAATGGAAATTTTCTATGGGATTTTGTTGATGGAAATTTTCTATGGGATTTTGCTAATGGAAATTTGCTATGGGATTTTGCTGATGATCAAAAAATTTCTATTAAATAGTTTCTATTAAAAGAAATTTTATTTAAAAATTGATCTTCCCATCAGCAAACAGTAAAACTAAATAATAAATTATTTTTAATACTATATGTATATTCCATGGCAGAAAATAAGAAATAGAAAGCAAGCGGTTAATCTGACCGGCTAACACATGAAAATGGCGGTCTTTTTTTTTATTTGCGAGTTTAATTTAAAAAAATGCATTGATTTTAAATCAATGCATTTTTTTAAATTAAACTCGCAAATAACCGGCTGTTATTTTACACACTGTATTTGATAAAAAACAGAAAGAAAGAGAATAAAAAGAAAACATTGCAAAGTGAATAAACAGCTACAATTTTATGATGTAGAGGAAGACGGGGAACATTCGACCTTTTCAAATATTTCCCAGCATGCTTAAAATTACCACTTAAAATCTTTAGGCATGTTTTGCCTGTTGATAAGCTATCACAGAAAACAGTTATCGATCCATCTTTATGAGTATTAGTCCTTATTTAGAAGAAAAATCCGATTATTAATATAAAAGGTACTTTTTTTCTGTTTTAAAAAATCCGCAAAGAATCTCTTTTTCAATTTTAAACTCCCAAACTTTTGTGTTGTTTATTATTTAATGATATTTTGTGTTAGCACATTAATTTATTTTTCTTATCTTTTAGGTGCCTCGAATATATGTTATGAAAACAGATAGAAATAAAATAAATGAAAACGTGGTAAAGGAAGCTATCATTAGTATTTTCAATAATTCAATGCCTGAACGACAAGCCGCTTTAACATTTAATGTGAAAAGATCTACACTAAAGAGTATAGTAAAAAATATTTTGAAAACATTTGATAAACAAGATTATTTAAAAAGACTTTCAAGCAATTTAGTCTCTGAAAATAATACTATGAGGATAAATTACCAAATTGTTCAAGTAAATATATAGCAAAGTAAGTGTTTACTTTGATCAAGAAATTTTGTTAAAAAGTCTTCAGACATAAATTACAGGCTGATTTATAAAAGCATACGCAAGCTAGCTTATGATTATGCAAAAAAGTTGAATAATTGTTGAATAATTTAAAAAGTTGAATAATTAAACAAACATAAAGTTGATCAATTTTTTGAAAATTATAAATCAGTTTTGGAGCGATTTCATTTTCCCCCATCAAGGATTTTTAATCTAGATGAAACTAGTTGCACAACAATCTCAAAAACTGTAAAAGTCGTATCAACATTTGGCAAGAAACAAGTTTCACAGGTAGCTTCTGCAGAGCGTGGCCAATTAGCAATTAGAATCTCATTGCTCACTGAAATTCTTTTTTGTAAAAAGAACGGAGTATGTTTACTAAGTTTTCCTCCCCGTGATACACATATTGAAGGTTTCGTGTTAGTAAAATTTTGGACTAAAAGTAATATAGTTTATTATATCCCCCAAGTAAAAGAAGTTGCTCCTATGATCACAATATTTTTGAGAAGAAAAGGAAACAGTTTAACGTTCATTTTCCCTGATATTGATTATATCTTTAGTGGAAACATCAGAAATTGTTGCAATTTTAAAATCTGCGACTCCAGCAAAGGCCAAAAGAATGGCGTTGTTACTTTTACTTCGATATCGTTTTGCAAATTCAATTGTAAAATAGCTATTACTATTTGTTTTTATATTATTTGTGGAAAGTTTTTATTTGCACAATAAATCATTTAAAATAAAGAAAGCTTATAGATTTATTATTTTATTTATAATGATATGGTCGAATGTACCCCTCTAGGTGGTCGAAATTACCCCAGCGGTGGGGTACATTTGATCACTTTGAGGCTTACTTTTAAAAAAGTGGTAATTTTAACAAAAATAATATTTTATTTACATTATCTTTCTAATTTGTTTGTTTATGTCCGTTACTTGTAATGCTAAAAAATTAATCATTTCTAGCAAAAAATCATCTGTAGGTTAATAAAAGCCTTATTATTTTGAAAATAATGACCAAATATTATAGTAATCAAATGTATATTTGTTTATATACATATATAGTATATATATAATGTATAGTAATATATATATAGATACTTTTATAGTAATCATATACTATATATATAATATATATGATTACTTTTTATAGTAATCATACTAAATTAATCTAATGTTCCCCGTTTTCCCCTACAAATTACTTAAATACAAATTAAGCTTAAACTTTGTGTTCTTTTACTTTTTTATGATGATTCTGAAATCCCATGAAATTTTAAAGACTGATATCCCAGGATTTCAAGAAAATAAATTTATACGGATTCCCACCATTTCAAGATCTCGGGATTGCCATCCCTACACACTATGTATAAGCCAAGTCAAACCCCACTGTAAATAGTAAAATTAATATTTTGATCTATAAAACAATAAAAGTACATGTACCAATAAAACACTTATAATAAGATTTGTTGGTATCACATAGTAGAACACTCATGTAACCATTATTTTGAAAATAATGACCAAATATTATAGTAATCAATTTGAGGTTTAAGTAACAAGAAACTAACAAAATTCAAGTAACGAAAAACTAAAACTGCCATCCTTAACTAATTAACCAATCAAACTGAAATTTTATCCAGAGTTTAGTAAGGTCATAGGCTACATTTGCAACAATTTTTATTAAATCATTTAGAGTGATTCTCATTCTATAGATTTTTTTTTTATTAGCGCACTTTGAAGTCAAAATTTCACTCAATTTGAATATTCTAATTAAATTTTTTCCAAAGACAAAATTACAAGATTTCAAATTTTTCATCACAGGGTACCTTGGTGAGTATGCTATATTTCCATATAAGTGGAGCTCTTGGGTCGGCTAGGTTGGATCCACGATAACCATGCCTTATATAAGGTTTACTGTTTTGCATAGTTTTTCTGTTATTCTATCTGGTTCATAAATAATTTTAACTAAAGTCTAATTTAAAGTATTTCAAAAAAGCAATCAACAGTGAGGAAAAAAATTTGCTAATAAAAAATATAGTTTTTGAAATATTTAAAAAGATTATTTTTCTTAGTAACCTATTAATTGATTTTTTTTAATAAACAATAAAAGTTAAATTGTACAAGAACCATTTTCTAAGTAACAATTTTTATTTAAAAGATCATTTTGAAAATGATCCTATTTTTTTTAGTTTAAATAGTATACTATTTCTAAATTTACATTTTATAATAAAAACTCAATTTTATATTTATTACTATTTATTTTTTATTTTATATTTATTACTAGTAATAGATAGTAATAAATATAAAATTGAATTTTTCACTTAATAGTTTACGTTAAAGATTTAACTGTAAAAGCAAAAAAATTCACTCAGCAAAATTGGATTCTTGTATTGTATTATACTTTCCAGAATTTCCATATACAGTTTTTGTCAAAATTTCCCATAAATTTTTGATAGAATTGTACTATATAACTGTCCCTCCTCTGAAGTTACGACTCAGCAATTCTATCTTTTTTTGTTAAATTATGCTAATAATAATTAGTAAAACCATCAGGTGTATCTTAGTTAAACTTTTTTCATCTAAAAAAAATAACATTTTTTCATTCTGTATCTCTTGTCATATTGTCTTTTACAAGCTTTAATCTTGCACTTTTATGTTTTTTTGTCAATGGTGGTTTTGTGAATTTTTTCCCACTGGAACGGTCCTGTATTTTTACAAAATTGGTCGAACACGTCTTCTGTTCACATGTAATTCCAGTTCAGTCTTTATTTGCCTTGCTGTTGGTACTCTAGGGAAGACGCCAAACACAAAATATAGGAATATTGCTTTTTGGTTATTTTTATATATCTGCCCCTGGTGTAATTTTTTTGTAATTTTCACTTAAATTTATGAAATTATTTACTGCATGATGAAACCTTGTGATTTTTTTTTTTTTTTTGCAATTTCGTCAATTGGACAAACGATATCTTTGTCAACCAATACTTTATAGAACAAACAAATTAAAATCAACTCTTATTGACTGGTCAAAACAAACTGATGGCAATATTGCCATTATATATACCTATTTTAAAAACATTTTAGAAAATTTAGTTTCAATTTTCTCAGCAACATAAAAAATCGTCATAAATGCATTTGATTACAATAGGTCTAATAAAGATAATCTTGGCCAATTTTAGGAAGACTTTCCGTGTAAATTAACTATGCAATAACTACATGGAACTATGGAAATTTTGCAGAGTTAATAACATCACATTTATAACTTGGTTTTAAGTTAATTAAAACATAATTTTTCTATCATTTACATTATTATTTGTATATAATTAGATAATATTTACTGCATGAACGAATTTATCAGACAAAAAATTTGCTTTGGAAGTTAGCTTAATAAAAAACTTGGTGTTGAAACAATCATGTTGTTTTGCTAATATCTCAAATATTTATTTAAATAGTTTGTTTTTAATAAGTAACTGACTCTTTGGTTGTGTTCATATAATAAATAAGCTTTTTATAAAAGTAAATACATCAGAGCACTTAAGGATCTCTTTAAGTTTCAAATTCAAAATAATTTCATAAAGGTCATACTCAAATTTTTTTTAAGCTTGTTTTAGTTTCTGCTTTTTTTTATTCACTTAATTTTTTTTTAATAGAGTCCATTTACAGTAACAGACTCCACACCAATGGAGATAATAATAGATATGTTTCGGAAACTTGGATTGCGTCAAGTCCTTGTTACACATGGAGGGTATTTATTTATTATCTATGCTTTCATTTATTGTAGATCAATAGCTGTTATTAAGTTTTTTAATTAAATGTATAATAATGTTTAAATAATATTTATTGTATATATATATATGTGTGGAGGTGTGGGGGTGGATGTGTATTAGTGTGCGAGTATATATATATATATATATATATATATATATATATATATATATATATATATATATATATATATATATATATATATATATATATATATATTTATATATTTATATATATATATATATATATATATATATATATATATATATATATATTTATATATATATATATATACTACTATTATATATAAAAGTAGTACTAGTAATAGTTGTAGTAGTAGTAGTAGTAGTAGTAGTAGTAGTAGTAGTAGTAGTAGTAGTAGTAGTAGTAGTAGCAGCAGCTAAATAAAAGCTAGAATCTTAATTTTATAACAAAAATTAAATTACACAAAGTCATTAATCTTTTAATTACTGTAATATTGCACACACTTGTGGAATTTCACACACTTTTGAAATATGTTGACACAATAATTAGAATTCTTTGGAATTGTTTGTTTCTGTTTGTTTTTTTATAGATATTTTTAATAAGGATTTTTTTTTATTAGCTCACTTGTTTTTATAGTTGTTATTTGCATTTTTTGAACACTCTTAACTTTATTTTAACAATTTGTGTAAAAATGGAAACTAAAAGCTTCACTTGTTAAAAAACCGTCCTATTCTAGATGAAAAAAGTTATACAAATTTTTCAATTGAAAAAATTTAAAAGTATTTGTTGGACAGCACATTTTATCTTAAACCCATCAACAAGCACAGATGATGTAATTAATAATTACCTTGATTGTAAAAATGAAAATTATATTTACTTTTTGAACTCTTTTCTCTTGTATGTATTATTTATATGCATTTTCCCTAATCAACAAAACTCCCTCTGGCATAATTATGTAAAAATATATATGCATTTTGCCAAAATCAACAAAATTCCCATAATTATGTAAATAAACAGCTTTTATATCTCCCCAAGAACTAAGTTGAATAGCTATTTAAATATGTTGGCTTTCTCTTTTCTCTGGTTGACTATCTGTTTTATCGTAATAAATTATCAATGATTTCTATGTTTTCATCAGCAACTGTCTCTTTGATTACTTCGCTCCTTGTCATAGAAATACCTAAATTTTTAAATTCACGTTCATCACTGCCATTCTCCTTGCTGATACTAATTTTTCCTGTAGCCTTTGTAGAATTTGATGCAGGAACTCTTCTCACATCTTTCACATCTCTTGATACAGCGTTGATTTCAATTTTTATGGTTCGTCTTGTTTCCATATATATTTAACAATCCACTTTGTGCTGTCAAAATAAGAATCTTAATCTTTGTCATTCATAGTAACAGGTTTATGGTAGGAGTTGAAAAAAACCAATTTTGATCATTTCGTTGTATGTGTGCAGTTTTCCACAACATTTAATAATGTCCATTTTATACCCTGGTTAGCAGTTTGTTTCTTTGACAAACAGATTCAGGCGGATTCAATGGATATGTTGTCCATTCTTCTTGCATCCTGCAAGTTCATCCCAAATATTTTTACTCTGGCTTGTAGCTGCTTTGAAGTTTCACAGGGCAATCTAGTTATAAACGCTTGTTGCAATAATTGTTTGTCTTTAATTTTGGCCATTCCCATAAGTTAATTCAAACTGTTCATATACACATCTATGGATTTGTCTTCATTCCATCTTTGATCCCTGAACAGCTCATAGGCCTTGAAACTATTAACTGCAGACACTTCCAACAAAGACTTTTCAATATCTGTAGCAGAGGTTTTCTTGCTGTTGCTATATAGCAAAAACAATGGAATTATTAAAGAAAGACCTCCATCTTTTGCAGCTTTTCAACCAGTTTGATTTTATTCAGCCACACTACAACATTGCCAGATCCATCTTCAGTTTTCCAATCATTTTTGTTACATATATCATATTCCCAACATACTTGTAGGAATGACAACTATAATGACTTGCTGAACTTTGTTTTCTTGAACATATTTATACCATTAAATTTATAATAGCTTTACAATGATAATGGTAATTTTAAGTTTAAATAAAATAGTGTTTATATAATAATAAAAAAAAAAATTGTTATCCAAACACTAATATGAACGAAGATATACAACAAATATATCACCAAACAAAAAACTTATAAAACAAAAAATTGATTACAAAATAAAAAGTATGCTTACAACAATGAAAAGCCTAAGAATGAAAAAAAAAAACATTAATGCTGATGTGTAAACATAATTTGTGTAGTGATTAAGTAATAATCATCTCCTCAGAGTCACGTCTATTAATACTAGCGTTTCGATGAGGATCAGCACTTATAACTAGTTTATCCCGTCAGAAAAACGTCATTGTCACTTATGCTTTACCCCAAGACTTACGCCTATTCCATACTGCAGTAAAAAGGACTCACTGCAAGTAGCCAAAACCCAACCATCCCCAAATTTGTAAAGTATCAATATTTTTTTGATAATATGATATTAAAAGTGTAGATCTACTAAACAAACAATAAAAAAAATCACTAAGTAAGTCACTTAACATACCACCGAAAGAAAAACAACAATATTCTTCAATAAACTCTAGCGTTGTCATAGATACTTTATTCGAAATATGATAACCAATCAAAAGTGTAAGAAAATGAGCAACCCGCCCAACCCAAAATAATAACAATAATTAAATAATCTATGGTAACGGAGAGAAAAAAAAAAAAAACGTAACACAAAAACTATTTAAAATGTCACCCGCATAAATGTAAACATATAGTGAAGGATATAAAAAAATGTTTTTTCTAAATAAAAAGAAAAGATAAAAATTGTGCATGTGAAAATTAAAAAAAGCTGAGTAATAAATGCATTATAATATAACATAAAAATTCCTTGTTAGCAGTGATAATATGAAAATCAGCAGATACATAATATATCAATAAATATTGTAATAAGACTAACAAAACCAGATATTGTAATAAGACTAATAAAACCAGATAAATTTAAGTCAAATGAGTGGTTAAAAATTTGTTTTGGGTGATATAACAATAATATAAGTTGTGATATAAAAACGATGTACGAAGCGGAAAACAATATTGTTAAGAAGTAAAGGTTTCTCTATGGTCCGAATTAAATGTAATTTTGAGACCATAACAAAATAATAAGGAAAAAACATAAATCAACAAAACATGTGGAAAGCCGCTAGTTTATAAGAATCGCTCTTATACATTTATATATATATTAGGGTGTCCCAGAAAAAAAAATTCTCTATGGTCCGAATTAAACGTAATTTTGAGACCATAACAAAATAATAAGGAAAAAACATAAATCAACAAAACATGTGGAAAGCCGCTAGTTTATAAGAATCGCTCTTATACATTTATATATATATAAGGGTGTCCCAGAAAAAAAAATTTTTGAATTCAACATTGTGCAATATGTAAATCCTCCTTATTTGGTCCCAGTAGACCACTATAAAAATATCTGGGCTCAAAATCACTGTTTAGCTGAAGATGTTTTAGAAAAAAACTGCATATAAATTTTAATGAGATTTTTTTGCATTTTTTTATTAAAACTTTGGTAGTATTCAATATTTTTATAAAATAATCAAGTTAACTTTATATTAATCATCCATGTAAATCCTCCTTATTTGGTCCCAGTAGACCACTATAAAAATATATGGGCTCAAAGTCACTGTTTAACTGAAGATGTTTTAGAAAAAAACTGCATATAAATTTTAATGAGATTTTTTTGCATTTTTATAAAAATATCTGGGCTCAAAGTCACTGTTTAGCTGAAGATGTTTTAGAAAAAAACTGCATATAAATTTTAATGAGATTTTTTTGCATTTTTTTATTAAAACTTTGGTAGTATTCAATATTTTTATAAAATAATCAAGTTAACTTTATATTAATCATCCATTTAAATCCTCCTTATTTGGTCCCAGTAGACCACTATAAAAATATCTGGGCTCAAAGTCACTGTTTAGCTGAAGATGTTTTAGAAAAAAACTGCATATAAATTTTAATGAGATTTTTTTGCATTTTTTTATTAAAACTTTGGTAGTATTCAATATTTTTATAAAATAATCAAGTTAACTTTATATTAATCATCCATTGCATTAATTCTGACTGCTATAGTTACTGCAACTTTAAAAAAAATGCGTAACTAATTTATTTTTGTATAAGGATCGACTTGGTCTTCTTGTTTCTTCCTGTAGTTCTACCATAACATGATGAACATGTCGTTCCATCATATGGTGCCTAAATTTAAAATCCTCATTTTCTGTCATTACTCTCAGAAAAAAGAAAAAAAAAAAAATACCTGTATTTTGTAAAGTAAAACATCATACCTGCACATTAGCCAAAAAATTGGACAAGGTAGAGAATAAACAGTGATGTTTCTAATTGCACCATTGCACTTTCCAGTGTTCGAGCAAGTTGTCAGTACAACAAGTTATGATCTGGTCTGTTAAGTCATAATATTCAACAAGGCTTTGGATAGCCAGTGCTTGATCTTTCCTTTTGAAGGAGGGTACTTCAAGTACTCCCAGAAGAAAGTCTAGTGAACCCGATTCTGGAGACGAAACACTAATTGCCAACCTTTCTACTGTTTCTGAAATCTTGACATCCGTCCTATATTGTTTAACCAACTTTGTGTCAAAGTGAAGAACAAGTTTTAAACCCCTAATCTTATCCAGGTTTTGCTCTCTTACAAGTGCTTCGTTCTCTATAAGTTCATGGTTTTTTCTTGCCATCTGTGACTTAGAAATGTTTAACATGTCAATATCAATATCTACTCCCCCAGCTTGGAATAGTGAAGACAACATTGCTTATGCGACACAATAATCGCAACAAGTGACCAACGGAGTCGTCCAGTTTCGTAGATCTGAGAGATGTGATAATAAAAACAGTTAGAAGATGGTGTCATTGAATAAAAAATAAAAATCATAAGAAAATATAAAATGAGTGATAAGACTTGTGAAGGTAAAGAACGAAGTAAATGCTCAAGGGGCAGGGAGAGAACAAACTAACACTCGAATCACTCTGTATGTAGATCATATGTAACAAATATTTGATATACTGATTTTGAAGACTGTTGATGTCTACAGGTGTAATGGTGTAGTGCATTAGTACGTACCGTTTGTCGTCTAGTATGGTCTCGTTATGTTTCCGTTAACTTTCAAATCGGGTGAATAGAAAGCTAAACACACTCACTTCTTGCGCTTATGGGCTAGCACATCAGAGCCAGACGTAAGACCTACAGAATGGATTTCAATTGATCGAATGCACACATTAGTCACCGTAGGCCACAAGCCATCACTCTTAACCAAAAGAGCTACTGCCCCGTGCTGGTGTGGAATGATGTGCTATAAAGTGAGATTTCAGATCCGAGCACATAGTCAGCGAGCGCTGATCCGATGTGCATTGTGGAGCTTCCGACTGAACGTGTGCGTGAGTGTCAGCGTAGTCATTAGGTTATTGATCGCCGTAACCACATCCAGCGGGATAGCCTAATGTCCGTTTTGTCGTTGTGATGTACATTGGAAAAAGTCGGGGCTCACCAGCCACAAAGAATAAATTTTTTGCTTATGCGACACAATGGTCGCAAAAAGTGACCAACGGAGCCGTCCAGTTACGTAGACCTGGGAGATGTGAAAATAAAAACAGATTGAAGATGATGTTATTTAGGTAAAAAAACATAAGTTAATGCAAAGACTATTTAGTTGGTAGAGTAAAAGTTAGCAACTCAAGAAAAGGGGAATAAAAACTCACACCCCAGTCATCTTTTAACAAATGATGAAATAATGATCTATGAGTAAACAAGTCAATAAAAATCCGCTGGTTTATAATGGTATTCATAACTAAAATAATCGCACCACACAAGTGTCTAATAAATGTGGTACTATATATGTTCTAAACTCTAGATAAAAAATTGATAACTGATAATCACCTGTGTAACATAAAAAGCATATAAATGTCGTTAATGTAACAAATTCATAATCAAAAGCTCACAAAGCGCAAAAATACATGGGTTTAAGAGGTAAAAAAATGTTGGTGCCATAATAACCAATTAGAATTAAGTAGTGGATAAATGGTGACCCCCCTCCTCAGGAATGCACTGCGATCACCAATGACGTTTCGGAGAGCCCGAGACCTGCACTCACGCCACTCGTCAGGGGCGTGTCCTTGCAACAGATCTCACCGCCTGCATGTAATATACTTTACTTTTTTATCCATAAACTTATTTACCTTGTCATAAATGGAATCCACTTATCTAAAACATCATTCAGAATGAGTTGAGGGCAAATCTTTGTCGAATCATATAGCTTTTTTTTTCTTTGCAGTAGGAGACTCAAAGTCTGAATCATAATCTGTTCCACTACATCCACTGGAGAATTCCTGCTCAAAATTTCTCAAAGCTTCTTGTTCTGCTTCTTTTTCAAGTAATTGGCTTTCTTTTTTTTCCTCAACATTTGCTCTCAGTCTCTCCAACCAGTCGCTGTTCTTCTATCATCTTCATCAGCAGGTTTTTCATCCTTTCCTCACCTTCAGAAACTCTTTCAGCGTATGTTTTGTCATTTTTGTAGGGCATCTTGACCATGTCCCATTTCAAAAATCTCTTCAAAAAAATAGAATCCTCTTTTACAGCCTCCTTACTTCTTCTAGGATCCTGGCTAATTAACTTAAAAATGTCTTCCTTGTCTATAGGAAACAAAATATTGGCCTTGTCTAAGAACTCTTGAGCGTGTTGGCTCATGGTTTCTTTGCTCATCTCAAGGGTTCTCATCTTTAAAACTTTAATATACTGTGTATACAAAGCAATAATTCTAGCCCTAGATTAAAAAATTTATGATCCGGTAACGTTACCAATATATGAATTTTTTACTTTAATTTTTATACATTTTTTTCTACTTGCAAACTGAAAATTCATGCAGGCAATTAATCATTATGATAAAACAAACATACTGATTAAGTATAATTAAATCTATTACTTAAAATTTGTGAAGATTATGGTAGAAATTACCAAATTCAATGAAATCCCCAAAAAACACAGTTTATAAAGCTTGGTAGAAAACCAAAGAGAAATAAAAAAGAAAGTATAATGTTTTGTAACACCGCAATTGAACAGGCAACCTCAATTGAATATCTTGGAGTAATCATTTGAAATGACCTTAGAAGTAGTAACCATTGTGAACGAAGACGAAAAAAATTTCTATATGCAACTTGTGCAGCACGAAACTTGGGTTCAGATACATTTACTGATCCATCACTTAAAACACATCTATTTAAATGTTTTTGTAGAACAATATTGTATTATGGCACTGACGTTTGTCATCTTAACAAGAATGAAATTCAACAATTTCAAACACTTGAATCAAATATGGTAAAAGGCATTATGGGTATCCGTAGAAAAACCAGAAGTACACATTTTTTGGTTGCTCTAAAAATAGAACCCACAGGATTAAAAATTGATATTGCCAAGTGTTTCTTGTTTGAACGAACAATGAGGAACAGAGTCACAAATGAAATAATTCTTTCGATTTATAATGAGATGCATAACATTACTGTCCTTGGTACATATGATAACCTTATAACGCAATTATTAGATATAAAAAAAAGATATAGTTACGAATGCTCAATGCAATTCAATCGAACTCTATTATGGCCCTTACAAATCAGTAATGAGAAAAATTATTTTTTCTGCGTTCTTTAAAGAATTGATTGACCTTAAGAAAAGCTTAATAATCAAACGCATTCAATTATTTAACTCTGTAATTGCTGAAACGATTAACTTTTTGTTTTTACAAAAACATATTAAATATTTATGCAATTTTGATACAACTATTGTAAATTATTCATCGCCCACGGTGGCGTTATATTCTGAAATAATAATAATTATTATTATTATTATTATTATTGCTTCATGACTCATAGTTTTGCAATAACTCGGGGTTTTCAAAACGTTTGCGATCTTGCTCCGTCTTCACTTAACATTTACCAATTGACAAAAGAAAACTATGAAAAATCCTAGGTGCCCTTAAAAAATGTATGTATATATACTTCTGTGTGTGTGTGTGTGTGTGTATATATATATATATATATATATATATATATATATATATATATATATATATATATATATATATATATATATATATATATATATATATATATATATATATGTATGTATATATATAATAAATTCTAAAATATCCTATTATTTGAAACATCACTTATTTGAAAAACCCTATTTGACCACCATTAGTCGGTATTGAGTCATGAATGGAGTATTGTTCAGTGTAGATTAGATTCAGTGTATTATGGTTATGACGAAAAAATATTTTTTTGGTCTGTAAGTCCGGAATACTTTTTAAAAACTCAACTTTGAAAATAGAATTGAATCAGCTGTCCCTGCCCAAGTCTTTGTAACGCTAAATTGTTTTAACATTTAAATAAAATATCCAATATTGACGAATCAGGTCTTCACAATGATGGTTTAATAGAAATGCATAAAAAATCTGGTCCACAACTTAAGAAAATTAGAAAATATATGAGAGTTTTTTTTAAATTCTGACTTTAAAAAATAAATTTTTTCAAAATAGAACTATAATTCTATCTTCTATAGAAGCATAATTTGGTATAACTAAATTAAACCCCGTATCTAATATCTTTTTCATTTGTAAAAAACGTTTTAGTGATGTTTCAATTTTTTTAGAGATTTTATCACAGCAATTGTAATACTTGAAAGATTTTTCTTTGTTTTGTTTAAGAAAAACAAAATCTGTAATTTTTGTTACGTTGGGGGTCGTCCATAAATTACGTCGCGCTCTAGGAGGGGGGGGAGGTAGTGGTTTTGTGACGAATCATACGGGACATGCTACTAATGAATGAATGATATTGAAGTAGTTTTTCGGTAAATAGCGGTGTTGCATTTTTTATTTTTTTATTTTAACAGTAAGTTATGATAAATTTATAGCTTTTTTACATAAAATTTTTTTGTTTAGGAAACTCCTTGGGATCATTACAAAAAAAGATGTTTTAAGACATATTGCACAAATAAAGAATTTAGACCCAGGACACATATTGTTCAATTAATAATTTATATTCCTTTTATAATTTTATAGGTTTTTCTAGAAATCGTTAGAATTGAATTACTGCATGATTATTATTTTTTTTAATTTTGCATATAGAAACTGAAAATCAAAAACAATTGTCACTTATTTTTTGTGTCAATTTTTATGTCGATTGTTTTAATGAGTAATACTAAGTCTTATTTGCAATTTTTTTTTTTTTTTTTTTTTTTTTGTAATATTGATTATATTGCATTTGGTGTTTTATCTGTAAATTAAATCCATTTTTTTATAATATATGTTTTTAAAAAGATTTTTGCTTTAATTGATTCGGTAAAACTAGTCGAGGCCATCTCATTCTCAAGTAAAAGGACCGTTAATGTGGGGTGTGACGTCACATTAAACGTCATATTGATGTTTGTTTTGTTTTGAAAAGATGTTTCATAAGAGTTATAAACTCATTAAGACTAATAAACTTTTATTTTTTATTGTTATCAATATTCTTAAATAATTATTTATGATTTTTTTTTTTTTTTTTTTTTTTTTTTTTTTTTTTACATTTTGAAGATTATCAGCTCTTTCGCAATAATTGTTTAGAAAGACATTTGCTAGTGTACGTAAGATAAGTTGTGCAATATAAAGATTCTCATTATGGATTCATATTGAGAAGATATAAAAAAAAATTCAGAAAATTTCTATTTTTATTTGCAACAAAAAGTTAGTTGGCCATTTCAACCGATTTTTTTCCTGATAATTTTTATACAACTTTTTTCTTGAGTAATATTCCTGTTAGAGCTACTATGGGTCGGGAATTATCTTTTTCCGGATATTTCCGATATTCCGGATAATTTTCTAAACTTTTAGTTTTTGCGAATGTTTTCCATACATACAAGTTTAGGTATATATTTATGTAATATATTTATTTTTTAAGCTTTTTCACTCATTACTCATACAAGAATTAATAAAAGTTAAAAAAGAATCAGAAACATTGCATCTAAAAGCAAAATTAAGAGGAATATAAGGGAATATATATTCCGGATATTTTACCCAAAGATTTTTCCGGATTTTTAAAATATGACCTGGATGATCTATGCTATGGATATAAAATAATTTATTTTATTGTTGTTGTTGCATAGTATACTTTTTGCACTTAAATATTACAATTACCATTTTATTTATTTTTGCATAACAGTGTTTGTGATTATCCACGATGTGTTCGCAATTACTTCACGTACGTAGGTCCGAACACCAATAACTTAATTTTTGCCCTAAATTTATAATATAATAAGATTTACAAAAATTACTTTTTAAGGTTTGTGACTGAATAGTAAGACTGATTGATAAGCAATAAATATGATCAATTTAGTATAAAAGGTGTCTTTAATTCGCATTCCCGTTTAGCTGTTTCAATTTAATGTTGCTTCATACTCTGAAGCAAAATTAAATTCTAATGAATGTTCTGATACAAGTTCTTTTTATCGTGTATTAGCTTAAAGGCAACATAAACTGCAATATATACAAGAGAATTGCATTTAAAAGAAGAAACACGTACACTATCTGATATTGTAACTAATTCAAAAAATTCATAAATAAAAACATCTGGTTCAGAATTGTCTGGAGATTCAATTACATTCACATGATTACATTCAGAAATAAAATCTAAGAATGATATACTGTCATGTTTTGTAGAAATAATGTTAAAAGCTCTATTGATTTTTTTTTTTTTTTTTTTTTTTTTGTTTCTCCTATTTCTTTTGACTAATACATAATAGTTTCCACCTGAAAACAGTCGATAAGAACCAAATTGTGCTTCCAAACTGTTTAAATTTTTCCTGTCAACGCATAGGGAAAATGCAAAATAGCTATATTAGTTAACACGTATTAAATCAGTTCGCTGTAATAACAAATTATAACAGTGTGTTTTAAAACAAAAGTAGTTTGTTTTGTTAGGCAGTTATGTTTGTTTTTTTGTTTAAAACTTTCTCATCTCTGAAGCCAAAAGTAGAAACCTTTAAAAAAAAAGAAAAAAAGGTCATCCTTCAAGTCATTGATAGGATTACAACCACAATCTTGAACACAAATTCTTTTACTAGTAGAGTTGACATTTAATATTTTTCAGTTTTATAGTTAAAGAAATTAACTCATAAGTTTCTGTTTTATCTTTTCATTGTTCATTTCCAAAATGCATTGAGGAAATTGGTGTTTTGTCGTCAAAAAATTTTAAAGCTAATGTAACATTTTTCAATAGTGGTCTGTTAAATCAGCGTATTTATCAAATTTAAAACCTATATATCAATATTAGTTTTTTCAAAGTTAGGCAACTGTCAAATAACTGAAACCTGGATTTTAAATAACATAGATAATACTTCGAACTTTTATATTCTTCATTTTAAATTAATTTCATTTAAAAGACAAGTAAATAAACGCAGCGGAGGAGTCCTTATACAAGCGAATGAAAATATTGTTTATTACGTTAGGAATGATAAGTGCTTCTGATAGCTATAAAGAAATTTTGACTATTGAAATTATGAACAATCAATCTAAAAACATATTAATAAGCTGTTGTTATCGCCCACCTGACGGCGTGAGCGAGAACGTGAGCATTTTTTTTGAACAAAGTATTTTCAAAAAAGGTATTAAAGAAAACAAAAAGAACTTCATTATTGGAGACCTAAATATGAATTGTTTACTTTATAATGAAGATAACAAAATTAAAAACTTTTACGACTTTTTGAGGCGGGAGCAATTCCTTTAATAAACAGGCCAACTAGAGTAACAAAAAATTCGGCGTCTTTGATTGATAATATTACTACAACAGATATATTCAACAATGATATTCAAACAGGTATCCTAAAATCTGATATAAATGACCATTTTCCAATATTCGTAAAAACATAAAAAAAAATTATTACACAAGACTCCTAGATAAATTCAAAAATAACACAAAACGCAATTGGCAAACAATGAAGGAAATTACTGGCAGACAAAAAAAATGCTCAGGTTCTCTTCCCCAGATGGGTATAGTGGATAACAAACGCATATGCGAACCAAAGGCTATAGCTCATGAGTTTAATAAATTCTTCACTGACATCGGTCCTAAACTAGCAAATAAAATTTAAAGATTTTCGAAAAACATTTAACGATTTTCTAGTACAGATGGATAATTGCATTAGTTCCGACGAATTATATTCTGAGCTAACTTTTCATGAATTCAAAAAAGCCTTCAAATCCCTTAAAAAAAAACAAAGTAAGCGGAGCAGATGACATAAACGGTAATATAGTTATAGAATGTTTTGAACAATTAAAAGATATACTTTTTATGGTTTACGGAGCATCTATCCACCAAGGAGTTGTTCCGGAACAATTAAAAATTGTTAAAATTACCCCAATTTTAAAAGAGGGATCTTTATTGATAATACTGTGATAAAAAGACACTATCTCACAAAGTTTTTGGGTGTTTTTCTTGATGAAAACATCACATGGAAAGCGCATATTGACTATATTAGCACAAAAATTCCTAAAAGCATTGGAATTTTATATAAATCCAGAACATATCTATGTAAAAAAGATTTAACCCAACTATACTACTCATTTATTTATACCTATTTTAATTATGCAAATATTGCTTGGGGAAGCACAGAAAAAAGCAAGTTATAATGTCTTTACCGCCGTCAGAAGCATGCGATCCGTTTAATTAATTTTGCGGATCGATACACTCATTCCAAACCTTTTTTTATTGAAATGAAAATTCCTAATATTTACGAGCTTAATGTGTTTAATGTTTTATGCTTTATGTATTTGTGGAAAAATGACTTATCCCTACTATCCCAATGAATAAATACACTCTTAGAAATAATAAATTTTTGCATAAACCTTTTTGTCGAACAAAGTTTAACCAGTATGGTATTGCTTATCGTGCGCCATATTTTTGGAAAAAAGTTGTTTTGCCAAATTTTGATATATTTTACACTTTTCCAATTTTCAAACATAAACTCAAAAATTTAATTTTATTTTCCGATGACATAATAAGGTTCTTCTAATTGTAATTATGTACCTTTATTTAGAACTTTTTTAATTGTAAAATACGTTTTATGTTAATTGTAAAATATGTTTTATGTAACGACTCTCTTTGTTTTACTTTTCTGTTTATTTTATATATAGATTATATACATTGTAAATAATTATGCTAAATGCTTGTAAAAGGTTCTGATGATAAGATCAGTACAATCTTCTTTCAGAAACCTTGTTTGTATTTGTTAAAGTATTAGTATTGTTAAACAATTTTCTTGTTGAATCATAAAGATGTTGAATAAATGGCTTTAAATCACCACTACATAGGACACTAAACATTTTTCTATTAATCCGACTATTGTCTGAAATTAAATAAAGCTTTGTATCCATAATTTTCTGTTTCAACCACTTTTATAGTAGTGTCATTTTGATAGACAACAGTTATATTTTTTAATGGAACTATTGCAGCAACACCATTGTGTGATGATTGTAAAAAGCAAGTTATAAATGTTTGCCCTTTAGTCGCTTCTTCATTAGGTTAACTTTAAACAGCCTTCTTTATAAGTCCTTTTCCCATTTATATAAATTTCGTCATCGAGAAGGATTCGCTGACAAGCTTCCAATAAATTACACTTGCTTTTTAAATAAGCGACATAGATGTTATCATCTAATGGTTCATTATTTATCGAAAAAACAGTAGACAGTTTTTAAAGATAAGACACGTTTAGCAACAACAAAGCTATATCATGCGCCATGTTAAAAAATGATTGTGACATGCATTTTCGATAAAAACTAAAAGCGTATCAGGACTATATTCAGGCTGAAAAATAAAAAGTTTTATTGTTCATATAAAAATACTAAACGTTTATAAACATCAGTTGAAAACTTATCTCTAACTCGTTCATATAGGCTATTTAAGTTACATTGAATTGTTAAACGTAATCTGAAATGGACATGATTTTTTTATTACTAGGGAAAAATTGAGTTAACATAGTGGATTATTGAGTCCAATAAGAAAGTTTACATTTATCGTTAATTACCTTCGCCACCAAACTGCTGCCAATTTTTAAATTACCAGCAAAATTTTCAACAAGTAAGTTATTATGAATTTTTAAAGATAATAAGATGGTTGATTTATATCATTAATCATAAAAATATAGTTTAATTTATGCAAAACAATTCATTCAGATTTATTACTCATATAACTATTAATTTTAATGGAAAACTCATCAAAATGTCAATTTTATCCATTTCCTCCATTTTTCAAATTTTTCCTCTTCTCGCCGAGACTAACGACAATTG